CTTTTTAGAATTTATTTAGTTTTGTGTCTTTTGTTTTCAATTCTTCAAGAAACAAATTTGGAGTTTAATAGCGTCTAAAGTTCAGAATTAATTGAGAATTAAAGGTGCATAGAATTCATGGGATGACATCATCAAGGGAAATAAAGAAGTGCATTTTGTACGTGTAGTAGAAGCTGATCCAAATGAAACATTAAGATGACATCATCATGAGAAATGAAAGAAGCATTTAGTGCATGATTGAAGTCTGATTTAAAGAGGGCTTAAGATGACATCTGTAATGCCCTCACTGACATTACTATATGCTCCACAACAAAAATCACCAATTACTTCAAATCTTTGAGTTAAAATTATTGAAAACATTGGGATTCCAATAAAAGAGTTTCTAGAAAACATTTTATAATCATTTAAGTTAATCAACCACATACACGATTACATTCACAATAGAAGCATATAGATTTGGTGCTTCAAAGGTCAAGAAAACATGTGCATCACTTAAAAATAAAGTGAAAATTCCACACTGTATGCCGCAGCATATGGCATAGAGGCCATAATTGCCTGCTCCGTGCCATGCGCCATGGCGCACACACCTGAATTTATTGTCAAATAGCAATTTCTGATATGAAATTTAGATACATGCCATTTCCACATATGAAGTCCAATTGAGATGGTTCATGCGCCCACATAAAAGCTTTTTTAGAAAACTAACTAACGACACTAGTTTCATCCTAATTTGATATTTCTATCAAAAATTGGACACTAAAGTGCACTTTGACCATTTTCTGTCATTCTTGTCACTTAAGTGTCTCAATTCAAAACCGATTGTCATTAGTCACTGTTTTGGGCCTTAACTAAATTCAAATGGACAAAACACACCTAATGATCATACACATGTATAATATAACACACATACACAAACTTAGCTGTTTAATTACCTATTTCACACCTTGGGCCAAAATCACATTTTTACTTTTCGTCTCATATATGACCAATCACGATAAAAATCTCTACCTATTTCATATACACACATAATTACATCCCTCCACTAGTCCTTTCAGTCATTTTGTCATTCACAACACATACAAGGCTAGGGAGTTCAAAATCACAAACCATACCACAATCACATATTATTACATGTACAAATCCTATGGCAACTTATACGTATACAAGACTAATATTAACCAAATTCATTGTACCATATCTTACAAAAATCAGGCAAGAGATATAAACTCAGCCTATATCCTTTCCCTTTGACCCACTATCTCCAGAACCTAAAAATGTAAATAACCACTGGTTAGATAAAATCTCAGTAACTAAATATAGTCATTAAATGTCTATTAGCACAAATAACTATGCCAAAGTAATTGAAACATTATATAGCACATAATATAAATATAACATATCAATGCTAAATCATCTTTTTCACATCTAAATCACATTTCAAACGCTTTACACCATAGCATGATTAACTATCCACCAATCCTCTAAAGCTGCCCGACACGAAACTATAGGCTCTTCTGGATCAACCACTTATTAACCCGAGCTCACTTTCGATGGTAGAAAAACACCCGGCCAAAGGTAATCTAACCCACCTACAGACTATGGTTTCCCTCTTCACACACTTGTGATAGAGGTGTCGTTAACTTCTAACCACACCCTAATGGGCACTAAGGAGTTGTCAGACTGCCCAAATGTCCCATGGTAATAGTCCCTATAATATGCTGTATCGGATTACCTATGGTAACAAGCCGTATAATGTTGCATCGAATGTCCCATGGTGCTAGCTCGACCATATGGATTTTTACTCACATATCTTCACACACACACAACCCCACACATCTTGGGTGAACTCTCACCCCCTATAATCATGCTCTTTAACAAATCTACTACTTAAACACTTTTTCACAGCATATATATATATATATCTATTGAAATTGATAACTTTTCAAATTCATCTCATAATGCAGAGTTCATGCTAAAACTCATGCTAAAACTCTTAAATTCACCAATTCAATATTTAAATTCACTTCTACACAGTTATAATAGTTAATAAACATAATGAACTATATGGTTACCTTAACCATTATGTCCATTAGAAAGGTTACCGTGTAACTTAAACCTTATTTAAACTCCTTTCTTGTAACTCGTGCATCACAACTATAATCTACACAAAAATTAGTATCAGAGTCAATTTCTCTATTGACCAAAAAGTGCCAATTATCGCATTTAAGCACTAAATCACTATCAAACCACATTTCACACCAATTATGCATATTACCACTAATCACCCTTCATTTCAAGCTTTAACATTGTTTATCAATTTTTCTCTCACTATTCTCTTTCTAGAATTAGGGCAATTTTTGCCTAAAGCTTCAAAACTTAATTATTTCAACTTTAACTAGTTACAAAGCACTAGTTTAACTCTAGAGAACCTCTTTATTATTAAGGGTAAGAAATCAACTCCTTAAAACCTCCCGAATTCACTTCTCATTAGTTAAGACTAAGAGAAAATAAAGTAGATTCAGAGGTAAGGTAGTATGTAGTTTACCCGATAAGTAACGAGTCAAAAATACCATCCTTGCTCTTAATTTTGCTTGCTTCATAGCTTTAGCTCTTCTCCCCACAACAGACTCTCCTCCCACGTTTCTTGCTTCTACTTCTTGAGCTAGACATGTCTTATTAATTTGAATTCTGCTCCATGTGCCACAGTGCATTTGCCACCCACTGCAGTCATGGCACATGAGGAAAATCCTCACTATGCTGACCCACTCTACTTTAGGATCTTACTCTTCTACTTATCCAGTTCATATAATGTCCCAATGAGGTCAATATATCACTTCACTAATTCAGACTCTAATCTCTACAAAAATCACTAATTCATCCTTAATCAGTCATTAGACAGGATTAGAAATTTAGGATGTTATAATTCTGTCCTCCCTTTTAAAAAATTTTGTCCTCAAATTGAAACAAACATTACTCACACTTACCTAAGGGAATTACTGAGGGTATAACTGTCTTATCTTAGCTTCTGTCTCCCAGGTTGCATTACCAAGAGTAATATTCTTTTAAAATACTTTCAACCAGTTGAATAGTCTTATTCTTAATTACTTATCTTTCACATCCACTATTCGTTCTAGTTATGCTCTATAGGTCATATTCCGTAATTCTACTTCTTCAGGCTCAATCACATGAGAAGGATTTAGTTGGTACCTCTTTAGTTGAGACACTGGAACACATTATGAAGCCCATATAACTGTGGAGGTAAGCAATTCAATAAGCAACTGTTCGATCCTCTCTAGGAGTTCAAACAAACCCATAAATCTAGGAGCCAATTTCTTAGCTCTGATTAATCTCCCAATTCCTATTACAAGTATAACTTTCAAAAACACATGATCACCTATTAGAAATTCCAATGGTTCTCCTTCTTCGAATCAGCACAGCTCTTTGCTTGCTTTCAGCTGTTAATAAATTTTATCGTATCAACTCAATCTTCTGAGTAGTTTGATCCACAATAGCTGGCCTTACGATACTTCTTTTACTCAGTTCAGTCTAACACAGAGGTGATTTATACTTTTTTCCATATAAAGCTTCATATGGAGTGTGAACACTGTATTTTGTCTAGGCATTTTTTTAATTAATAAAAATAATAATAAATAACCAAAAATATATATAAAGATACAAAATGAAATTTAATCCTTTTTAGGATTATATTTCAGAACAAAAAAAAACTTTAATTATTAGGTTTAATATTATAATCTGCTGATTAGGATTTTATTTCTTTGCCCATTAAAACAACTAAAAATATAATAAACATAAAAAAATGAAAATTCAATCCTTTAGGGATTATTTTTCAAAAAAAAATAAATAAACAACTAAAAAAATATGGTTAAATGTGTGCGTGCGTGCGTGTGTGTGTATGTGTGTAAAAACTGAAGGTTCTAGCATTTAACTATCCATTCTGGTCCTTTGTTCCAGAAACACCAGACGAGCAAAGGAAGCACAAAGCATAACATACACACACATACACAAAAGGAAGGACAGAGCAGAACATGCACACACATACACGAAAGGCATAGACAAAAAGACAGAAGAGAGGAGTAGACTAAAACATAAAAAAAAAGAGAGGAGAAGAGCGAAAATGCAGCCATGCGAAGACACACACTCACATAAATGCAGAGAAAAAGCACCACACTTTTTGGTCAAAAAGGAGGAAGGCAGAAAAGAGGAGAAACACACGAGTATATGCAGAATGAAAAAAAAGAAGAAAAGAAGCCTTCAGCTATGCATAGCAGTAGACATAAAACATATGCACAGCGGAAACACAGCCACCCATGCACGCAAGAGGAAGAGGGAAAAAGACTTGCACAGTAAAATAAAAGAACCAAAAAGATAGTCACATGACAGAAGAGAGAAAGACAGAGCATAAAAACGCAGCATAGACAACAGACGGAAAGGAAGAGGGACAGGCGGAGAAAATGCGATGAAAAGGAGAGAAAATGGAGATGAAGAAAGGGATAGGAGCAAGAAATTGAAAACAAAACCAAAGTATAGAGGGAGAAACCGAGAGCAAAACAAAGCACTGAAACTAGACAAAAAAGAGAGATAAAAACTGGGAGAGAAGAAAAAACACCAGAAGAAAAAGGGAGGGACTGAAAGGAAAGAGCACAACAAAGCTAAAACAGAGCATTGAGAGAAAAAAAGAGATATGAATGAACAATAAAAGTGAGGACTTTCAGCCATGAGATGCTCTCTCTCTAAGCATATGCACAGAATATAACAAAAAAAGAGAGAGATGTGTATGAAGAGATGATAGAGAACTAAGAAAGACTGAGGGTAAGTAATAGTCGAGAAGAGATGGAGAGAGAGAGAGAGGAAGCAGCACAGTGATAAAGAAGATCGAAGGAACAAAAATGGAGACCGAGAAGGAGAGTAGATGATCAAGAGAAAAGGAGGAGGAAAAGGAGAGTGAAAGTATGAGACTATGTGCAATGTGAACGAAGTATATGCTAGCAAATTCCCCATCCTACTTTGTGGCCACCTCCAATAAGGCATTTATTCTCACTGATGCACCAGCTCCTCCATCAGCTATGCTTCCATCATGGCTTTCTAACTCTAGCAGCACTTTAGCTACTAGGCCATCTTCCCTTTCTGTGACGCTAAGTCTCTCTCCCTCCACTATGGTTGCTTCATCTCTATTTCCATGGTTACAACCTAAGAGAATGCTAAAGAATACTCCTCCTGTTATTCAGAACGCAACACCTCATGGAACTACTTCAGGTTTTAGTGATAATATGCTTGTATTTGAGCTTGATGAATATTGTAAAGAGCTGGAAGAAGGTCATCGGGCATTGTCATCACATAGGTGGAGGTTAAAGAAGATGGGGGCAATGATAGGGGCCACACTTAAGTCATAGGTTGCTGCAACCCAAAATGTAGTCAATGGCAGTTAAATCAGGTAATATTTAAATCATGTCATCTCCCTTATCTGGATTCATTGATGAACATATATATATTGATAGATGTTAAGAGTGTGGATTGATCCAGATGTATGTTTAGGCATTAAAAAAAATTCAAGAATGAAATACTTTTATATAGAATTTAGAACATATCTGAGAGGTGTTTGACAAAATAAAAAAATTATGAAAATATTGATAATTTGTGAGGTTGATTGTGGTTTGGGGCTGCGTCTATTGTGGTTATGATCTTGCTAAAAGTTTATGCCAAATCTAATTTCTTTCAGAATATATCCTCAAGTAGAAAGAATAGTAAATTATCAAATTAATTTATTCTTTCTATTGCCTTTATCGCATAAATTGGTTAGCCAACCATAATATTATGCACCAATTGCAAATACAATATTTTGGTCATCTATTTGTCATGTGAGATTTTAAGAATCTCCGTAGGCATTTAAAATGATTTCATATCGTGTAAATCAATAAGATTTCGTAGGTATGAAGATTAATCTTATATGTATTTATATAGATTTCAAAGGCCTATTATTAAAATTAATTCTCTCTTTTTAATAAATATTTAAGTCTCATGTAAGATTTCAAAAATGTTCGTAGAGATTTAAATAAATCACATTATCGTGTAAGATAATAAATTCACGCAGATATCATGATTCATAATTTATATGGTAAATAAATAAACAAATTTTGTAAATAAAATAATAAATGTTTTTATGATTTTAATTAAATAAATTAATAATTTGAATTATAATCACATTTTCTAATTAGATCTTTTAGTCAGTGAGATTTTTGAAACTCCACAGACCTTAGGATGATCGTACTACCATGTGAGTCAATAAGGCTTCGTAGGTATAACGATTAAGATTTCTATATTTAAAAATATGTGTTATATAATTACGCATTAAAATATATTTAAAGTAATATTATGTAATACTTTTATCATGTGAGATTTTAAAATCTTCACAGATATTTAGGATAATCATATTATCGTATAAGTCAATAATGCTATACAAGTATGGTGATTAAAATTCTTTAAAAAAAAATGTACATACATGCTTAAATAAATTATTACTAGCATTTACGAATAAATAAATTAAATTATTAAATTCTTTTATCGTGAGAGATTTTAAAATCTCCGCAGATATATAGAATGATTGCATTATCATATGAGCCCATAAGGCTCTGCAGGAACTACGATTAAATTCCCAATTATAAAATATAAAAAAAATAATTTTAAACCCTTTTCTTTTCCAAAATTTAAAAATTGAGAAAATAATTGAAATTAAATTACTTTTTATAAATTAAAACACACATATTAAAATTTTAGAAATTATTTTATTTGCAAAATGGTGAATTATTTTTAATTAATTTCTCTTTTTTAAAAAAATATTTTCACCAACAACTTTCAGCTTGAACTACGTGGACTTTGATCCTCATCACAAGGTAAGTAGGCCTTAAAGTCAGATTCTGAGTCAAGTCCTCTCTCGTAAATAAATAAATATTTCTCACTTAATTCTTATCATTTTTATATTAAATACATAAATATAAAAGGGATAATTAAAATAATTTAAAACTATATTAATATAGCACAACAAACTTCAGGTAACCGTTCTCACGAACGGGTGTTATGGGGTGCCTAACACCTTTCCCATACTCAACTGACTCTTGAACCTATTCTCTAATTTTGCAGACCATCCTTATCTACCATTAAATGGTTTCCCAAGATTTTTCTCAAAATTTTAGTAGCAACTCCCATTTTTTTTGTCTTCTTCCCGAAGGCCGGAACCTTCGCTCTCGCACCGTCCGCGTCGCATTTTCGGGTGTGACATGGAGCCATTTAAATTTTGGAATGAAGCTATTATTGTATGCAAATTTGGCCAATGGCAAATAGCTATCCCAACTACCACGCAACTCTAACACACAAGATCGCAACATATCTTCTAGAGTTTGAATGGTCCGCTCCGTTTGTCCATCCCCTGAGGATGATAAGCAGTACTAAACTTCAAAGTAATAGCCATGGCTCTTTGTAACGCTCCCCATGTAGATGTAAATCTCATATCTCGATTAGAGACCATTTCCTTAGGCACTCATAAATTTTGTCATATATATATATATATCCATTAAAATCGATAACTTTTCAAATTCATGTCATAATGTAGAGTTCATGCTAAAACTCTTAAATTCACATTTCAATATTTAACATTCACTTCTACACAGTTATAATAGTTAATAAACATAATAAACTATGTGGTTACCTTAACCCTTCTGTTTATTAGAAAAAGTTACTCGTGTAACTTTAACCCTATTCAAGCTCCTTTCTTGTAACTCATGTGTCAGATACTATGATCTATACAAAAATTGGCATTCAAAGTCAATTTCTCTATTGACCAAAAGTGTCAATTATCACATTTAAGCACTAAATCACTATTAAATTCATATTTGACACCCAATTATGCACATTACCACTGATCACCCTTCATTTCAAGCTTTAACGTTGTCTATCAATTTTTGTCTCACTACTCTCGCTCTAGAATTAGGGCAATTCTTGCCTAAAGCTTTAAAACTTAATCGTTTCAACTTTAAATAGCTACAAACCACTAGTTTAACTCTAGAGAACATCTTTATTACTATAGGGTAGGAAATCAACTTCTTAAAACTCCTGAATTCACTTTCTTATTGGTTAAGACTAAGAGAAAATAAAGTAGATTCAGAGGTTAAGGCAGTACGCAACTTACCTAATAAGTAATAAGTCAGAAGCACCATCCTTGCTCCTGATTTAGCTTGCCCTAGCATAGCCTTAGCTCTTTTCCATACTAGACCTCTCCTCCCATATTTCTCCTTTGTATTTTTTGAGCTGGACACGTCCTTATTAATCTAAATTCTGCTTCATGTACCATGGCATATCTGCCTCACTATGCTCACACGCTCTACTTCAAGATCCTTCTCTTATAGTTATATCTGTTCATATAACATCCTAATGAGTCAATATATCACTTCACTACTCAGAACTCTAATCCCTACATTAAATCACCGATTCATCCTTAATCAGTCATTAGCACAGGATTAGAAATTTAGGATGTTACAACATCATCATAAGGATTAAGAAGAGCATAATATGTGTGACTTCATATCTAAATCTATGAAAAGTTCACATGGTAGTTAAAGTAAGACTTAAAATGAAGTCACATGGTCCATACTTAGTCACATTATTCATGCTCTCATCTCCATCTCATTTTAGCACTTCATTCCCTTTAATTTTTAGAGTTAATCCTTCAATTTTGATTTATTATTTCCAACTGGAATAACTGATTCAGTTCTTGGCCTTAAAATCATCACCATTAGATTAGAATTAATTACACAGACTTAAGCTAAATTTTTAGATTGGGACCTTATTCTACACATCCCATTCTTTCTCTTAGTTTGATTCTCTCTCAATTCTCTTATCTCAAGCCTCAGCGTTCACGCTACTCATCAAGTCTTGGGAGTTCCAGATCTAGCTCTTTTCCATTCCAGCTCTAAATTCATGTTCCAGTATCAATTCCTCATCCATTTCATTTTTCTTCCAGCCTTTGTTCAGGTTGTTCATCACGTGTTCATCCTTAGTTCCATCATTCCAGATTTGTTCCTTCATTTCCTTCATCATTTTCTTGAATTTTTGTTTATGTTCTTCCTCTATCTAGAATTGTTCTTCACCTCCTCTCTTTGGTTCATTCACCTTGTGTCATTCTCTTCCTTATTCTCCATCAATTTTGTTTTTCACCTATCTATTTCTAGCCTTGAATTTCATCCAATACTCAGCTACTAATTCTAGATTCAAGATGCCCTCTCAATCTCAAAGTTTGATTGGTTTGAAGATAAATAACATGAGAGGCTAATTTTCTATTAAGCTTTAAGGAAGATGAACTTGTAATTTAAGTATTTCAGAATTGCCTTCCTCATTTGTAATTTCAATTCTACAATTTCTTCTATTTCTTTCAAGGATTCAAAATTATCATTCAGGTTGAATTATGATTTTGATTGCAATTACATGTTAGATTGAAGTTGTAGATGTTGGATTGAGATTTAATTTTGTATTTTAGTTCTGGAATGTATGAATTTAGTTGAGTGTTCTTGAATGTGTTCATATGTTCTTAATGTTCTTGTTCAGATTTCTCCATATTTCAAGCTAGATCCATATGTGTTTATATGAATTTGGTTTGAGAGGTTTTTTTGCCACTTAATTTAGTTGGAATTGAGTGGCTATGAGCAAGGCTGAATTACATTGTTAATTTCACTCCACTTGGCTTAGATTCATAGTGATCTTTGGATGTAATGTTTCACAACACTTTAAAGGTTTAGAGTGTTCTTCATTAAGCTATTTGTCATTACATGTATGATTGCAATTCTAGAATTCAAGGATTATCACAAAGGATTCTAACTTGAGTTCCTTATCTTATTCATTTACGTTAACACATTTAAATCAAAAATTACAAACATTTAATTCTTGCATTCTAGACATAGCTGAAACATATTAGCATTCTTTTAATTTGTAGGCAATTGTACCATAATTTGTGTGCATTGCTCTCTTGGGAGATAACCTAGAATACTCTCAACTATATTCTAGTTTTATTTGATGGCCTAAAGTAACCTAGGGTTTTATCAGAGTGATTCAAGTACCCACACAAAGCTTACAACATATACTAGCAAATGGAATAAGTTTGGACTTGATCCGACGGTTTAATCTAAAATTAGACACTTGGGTGCAAAAGGTCACTTTTTATTTCAAAAGTTACATCCTAGGTGCTCAATTCTAATTCCTTATCCTGTTAGACCACTTCAAGTCTTTTACTAAGTCTAAAAGGACTACATATACTTGATTGACACTTCATACCATATATATCACACCATTTACTCAAATTGACCTCTCAATGCTACATTACATATTTATGGACTTATATAAGGCACAA